TGGTGACGGCGGGACTCAGAGAATCCCGGGGCGTACATGCGGAAAGCCCAAGGAGGATCATCACCGGCAGACCCACACTCTCCAACAACCTCTTTCTCCATAGCCTCATGCTGCACCTCCAAAAGCGGGTAATTTCTCCTCCCACGCCGCTGCCCAGCTCAACTCTCAACTCACTCTCTCAACCTCGGTCGTCTTCGAACTAATCAACCGGCGGCATCCGAAAAACAAGACCGTTATAGAAGAAGCGTCCTTCAATCAACGACACGCATATCCTCGAGATTCCGGAGAGCAAAGCCCTGGGGAGAGGCAAACCCCACCCATCTCCAGCGCTCTCTCCTCCACGGCCTTACAGGAGAAAAACAGCTTGCGTGCCGCGCCAGTCTGCACTTCTGATCAGTGGCGAAGATCTTTGACATGTCTCAAGACAGTTTCACGCCCTCCTCAAACCGTCCGAGGCGTGCCAGCCTCGCGCTTGCTCGGGTTATGTCACACCACTCAGCCTCTTCATCGTCGGCTGGCGAAGACGAGGAGGAGGACACTGTCATGACCTACCCCGACGATGCCGACGAGAAACAGGACTCGATACCGGCCCAAGGCACAGCATATAACGATGGGTTACTGGAAAGGCCGTGGTACGACGAGCAGGACGAATGCGAGTGTGATGTAGATGACTCCGACGACTCCGACGACTCCGACGACTGCGACTCTACTGACGATGAACTCGGGCCTGGCCGCTACACACCTGTTCACCATGTCTCTAGCTCACTTGAATCCGGCGCACCGCTGTATCAACAACAGTACCACTCAACGACATACACAGGTGCTTACTCGGATGATGATGACGATGTGTCAGTAGATGGCGGCGCTCCGGTGCCACCGGTGGATATCCTTTCGATTGCAGATATACTCTCGAATGATATGGACGAGGAATATTACCATCAGACATACCCGGCTTTAGAACATGAGCACTTACCGCATGACGAGGAGGACGAACTCGACGATGAAGTGCCGGAGCTAATGGAGATGAGCGCCGAAGCTGCTACCACGGACCAAGATCTGGTGACAGGGGCGGAACTAGGAGCATTATGGACCGCCGGGGTGGTGCCACCGCCTCACCTGGCATCGATGCCGCCCGAGATGGCGCAAGAGGTACAGCAGCAGCTTGATCAGCTCGGCAACGGAGACCAGTTCGAAGACGGTTCGGCTGTGTGGTTTCCGGGACAAAACGCGGGGCCCACAGCCTTTGTCAACCCCAACATGAGCACACTCAGCCCCGGGAATTACCCCTTGATGGGGTTTCTTCAGATGTGGGCTGGAGCGCGACCCCCGCCACGCCTGAACAAGGAGCACACACGATATCCTTGGTTCAAGAAGATCGCCGAGCAAGCCGCTGCCCCTTTGACGCACGTGCAATATGCAGACCTGGAGGGAGATCGATGTGATTTTCAAGGAATGGACTGGGACGATCTCGGAGTGACCAGACGGGAGGCGAGGGAGCGGAGACTACTCACTTACACGAACTACACTAACGAGGCGGGTTCGGATCGATGGCATGTAAGTGTCATCGTCGTGTGCCGGGGTTGAGGTTGGGCACCACGCTAACTGTCTCTCAGTCCAGTCTGCCCGACATAGCCATACCGCGGACGGACAGCTTCTTTAGGTTCAGGCGCATGGACATACGGCGCAACGTCCGGCTTGCCCACTTCCAGCTGCGCAATGTCTTGGCCGCCACATCCCGCACCCATGCCTTTTACACGGGGAATGGCGTCGTCCACCGCTTCAACCCGGTATCAGGCGTGAACAAGACCGTGATGAGGTTCTCCGCCTACCCTTACGCCCAGATTTCGACATTGGCGGCCGGTCACGGTGTTCTGGTGGCGGGAGGTTTCAACGGCGAGTACATGCTCCAGACTGAAGATCACGTCGGCGTGGCAGATGATGAACTGGGCCCCTTCCACAACGGCGTGCTTACCGAACACGTCAGCGGGATAACCAACCACATTCAAGTCTATCTCGGGCGCAGCTCATCTTCACCTCGTGCAGGATTCGCATCCAATGACACCGCCTTCCGTGTCATTGACCTGGAGACTAATAAGCTTCTATCGGCGGAGACCTTCGCCAGACCAATCAACTGCACTGCCGTGTCGCCAGACGGAAGACTACGCGTGCTGGTGGGCGACAGCAACAAAGTTTTCATCACGACCACCGAGTCGGGCAGGCCCGAGATCCTGCAGCAACTGTCCGGCCATCGTGACTTTGGCTTCGCCTGCGACTGGGCTGACGACGGGTGGACAATTGCGACCGGGTTTCAAGACAAGACGGTGAAAATCTGGGATGCCCGCCGTTTTGGCTACCCCGTCGAAACCATCCGCGCCGACATGGCTGGTGTTCGATCGCTGCACTTCTCCCCGATTGGATCGGGCAAACGGGTCCTGGTGGCCGCGGAAGAGGCAGATTACATCAACATCATAGACGCCAGGACGTTTCGATCAAAGCAAAGCATCGACATCTTCGGCGAGATTGGCGGGACGCAGTTTGTCAATGATGGGAGGGATTTGATGGTCCTCTGTTGTGATCGGGTGAGGGGTGGAATCATGACGTTGGAGCGTTGTGGAGTTGGCGCCGAGTTGGACTGGCATGGCAACGAGGATGATAGCAAGGGGCTGAGGAGGGAAGAGATGGGGTGGAGGGGAAATACCTGGGATTGGACAGCCACCACTTTCACTGAGGGCAGGAGTGTGAAGGGCAGTTTGACCAAACGCAGGAGACGTGGGGCTGAGTTGGAGATGCTGGAACCCTTCTAAGAGGACGACGAGGGGCATCACGGAATGACGACGAAGGATATTAGGAAGGATATACGGCTCACATGATATGAAGCGATGGATGGGTTACACGATATGACAAGGAAACTGTCTACATGACATGGCACGACATATATGGACTATTCCTCGGTCAGGGACAACGGCGTTTTCAGGGAGCATAGGAGCGTTGCTGTTTTTTGTTTTTTTGTTTTAGTCTTTTTTTTTTCCTACATACCCTCCATCCTTATTACTATTGCTTTGGGTATCAGTATGGGCTATACCACCGGAAATACATTTCTTTCTATACTGTCGGACCTTTTGGGGCCAAAGGCCAAGAGAAGTGGTTGGGGGATTTTGCTAGCACTAATTTCACGAGTCAAGAACCATACCTTTGGGCCATATCGCAGTAGTCCACAACACCAACCATCACGACTCAGGAACAAGATGATGATCTTTTAACTTCATCGACTGGTCTACTGGCCCAATGGCAAGGCGTCTGACTACGAATCAGGAGATTGCAGGTTCGACCCCTGCGTAGATCACGAATGTTATTTTTTGATGGTTAGTACGCCTTTTTGGAAAGAGCTTAGCACGCTTACCCTACAGTTGAAGCCCTGTTGTCAAGACATATTCTTTTATCCATGCGTGACGCTAAGCCCAACTTATCTGCATAACTAACGCTGGCGGGGCGATGCTCAAGCTTTTGCTAAAAGGTGTAGAAACTAGTCTGGATGTCGAGTTTGCTCGTGGATGTCCCTGGAGAACGGTAAAAAGTCCATAGCTGCCTTACCTGTTTCTTTCATGTACACATGTTCCTTCTCTCATAACAGATATGAAACCAATGATTGAGACACTGCCGGCATCAGGTGCAGTGTTCAGTCCAAATCCTCAAAAACATGGTAGAACTGAAGACGGCGGGTATCAACATCAACGGCTATACTAGCTCTTAATTTGCTTAATTTGCTTAATTTGATATTCATTATATTGCCCACGAAGTGTCAGCACTCTTGGTTCGATGGTGTAGTTGGTTATCACGTCAGTCTAACACACTGAAGGTCTCCAGTTCAAGCCTGGATCGAATCACGTCTCGTTTTGCCGAAACACGGGCTTTTTTGGGGGGCAAAGGGTAGACATGATGTTGTTTTACTCGACGACGATCAACAGCATGAACCAATAAATAGCATAAACCCCTATTGGATCAATATGCTCCATAATTCGACTCTTTGCATGATCATTGACAGAGGTGTAACCAAGTGACTCGTATTGCGCATGAACTTCTGTTTCCACAAGTGACCCTGCTGGCCAAGGCTTGGAATGGAACACTCGTAACAAAACAAGATACCGAATCCGGCATGAATGCCAGACCAGGGTCTCCCAAGTATTATACGTGCAACATTCGTAAGGTCTCGGACTGACCGATTAATAATGAAGCTGATGCACGACTCTGCGACGGCGTTGCCGCCAATTGTTTCTGGAAGGGCGTTGATCCTCCTTGAATAAGCCTCCGGAAGATGCCAAATGCGGGACGGGAGAAACACAATGCTCGAGTCAACCCGCGGTTGGTGTGTGCTGTGCTTCGTTTCCTTCTGGCCGGATTGTGTCAGTGGTCTGGAAGGGCCGTAGCATTGCAAGCATAGTGTCATGAAAGTTGTTTGTTGTGTCTGAGTTACAGTGTTATGGCATTTGACGCTTGCTGTGAGCCTTAAAAAGACCATGGCTGATGCTCCCGGCTTGCTGACCGCTTTCAGGGGTTAGTTTTAGGAGACTTGGCGCGGTAAGCCAGCGGGCTACCCGGAGTGAGCGACTCAGCCAGGCGTACCTGAAGCAGAGCGGCATGATTGGTCATATGCTTGGAACTGAATCCCGGTTAAACGACCCAGTTTGACACTGTTGTTAGCCCCTTCCCCCCAATTTGTTTGAACAACAGGCACCGTTCATAACCTAGAGGGAGGCGCCTTCCCTCGCAACTACCCTGCTATCTTTCTCACTTTCTTCTTTTATTTGGGGGCATCTTTACCGGACCTCATCCCTTTCTTTTCACCTCGCGAGCGACTCGGTTTGTCCAGGTTTTAACACTCACGGACCACGGTGCCACGCGAGGGAAGCGGATCGTCAAACCGCGGGGTGAATCTAGGCGATTCTTGACCGAAGGGAGTGACGTGCCCCTGCTTCTCCTCACTTTCTGAACCACTTGGCTTTGCAGCAAAGTCGCACACATTGTTTCCGTTGTGCAGTTCAAGCCAACGACCAGAACTATCAGACGACGGTGACGACAGTCTCCCATCTTCATTATCACATGAAGCCATCACCAAGGTGACGTTGTGGGCTTCCCCAGAGCACCACTTCGCAGTCCACTTGCCTGCCGCACATCTTCCGCAAGACCAAAACAATCCACAGTCAATATGGAGCCCGTCCCTGAGACCGAGAGGATGGAGGAATTTCGCTCGTCACCCATCCCGAGCCTCCGGCTCCAAAGTGTCTCCTCATCCTCCCTCGCCCCGCCCGACCCGAATGGTCTGCGCAAGCCGCCTAACATGCGACGTTCCACGGATCCTTCGCCCACTTCGCTCAATTCTCCCCTCTGGAGCCACGGCCAGCTCCCTTTCCGAACCAGAACCGCGTCGCCATTGTCATACGGCCATTCACGGTCCCGGTCGGCGGCTAGCAGTCTCGCTCCACCCATGGCCAGGACCCAGTCGCTGCCCGGAGTGAACGGGGCCGGCCACATCTTATACTCCCCTCAGCTCCGGTCTAGTCCATCCGTGTCGCCAAGCCGCGCACGCGCGCCGAGAAAACCGGCCGATGAAGCCTTCCCGCCGAGCTCACCCACGCGAACGTCGATCTTCCATCCCGAGCGAAAGCTGTCGGAGCGGAGTAGTGCGCCGAACCTGGGCTTGGGGATGAGCTCGTCTATACATAACCCGCGCATTCGACGGCCTCAATCGCCCCTGCACACCCTAGGACACGTCCCAGCGTCGCTCCCGGATGTTCCAGAAACAGTCCCAGAGACGGTGCAGGAGTCGGAAGAGGAGAACAACGAACAAGAGGCGGGACAGGATACCGCGTATGAGGTGCCCACATCCGTGGCATCCTCGCCTTCTTATAGGTCATATGATCCACTTGGAAGTGATTACGGAAGGGGTTACAGTTATGCTACGACCATGTACTCGTCCTCGGTGCCTTCCACACCGACATCAGTACGGTCAAGGAGCCCGAGCATCTCTAGTCTGGAGACCATTGAGGACTCCCCTGACGCTGAGGAGGCCGCACTGGAAGCGGAGAGGATTGCGCAGCTTAAAGCTGCCGCGGATGCGGCTGATGGCGGTGGGGATTCGAAGGGTCGCGGTGGTCTCGACACACCTGTTCGAGGCAGAACCTTGAGCTTTGGTCCAAGAGACAAACGCAAGAGGTGGAGTGTGTGCGGTGCAGAGAGACGAGGAGACCTCAATCTAGACACCATTTGGGAAGACTGATTATGCGGATTTGAGGGAGCATTAGTGAAGGCACCGCTAAGTCTTTCGGGGCTTCTTACCCCTTAACTTGCGACTGGAGGTGACCACATAAGTTGCGCGTGTTTTTTTTGGTGATCAGGCATCATCTTTTAGTTTGGCGAACGTGCATTGGCAGGCATGTCTGAGAGCAGGAACCTTTTGGCGGCGTTCAGGGAGCAGACCTTCGATACCCTTTTTGCATTGGCACACACCGTTACAGGAGCATTAACAGGCGACAGGGGACTTGTTCTTAGCATTCATGATTATGGGTATGCTTTAGTGTTCTTAGCAAAAAAAATATATCAGTCTTATTTCATGCAGGGACGTTTTCCATGTTCCGTTTAGTCGGGTTTGGTGGTGGTGCCGCATTGTGTGCGCAGGGACAAAAAGTATTAGTCTCCCTTCCACGGCCCGCTTCTCCCTATTCTCCCTACATAAGGGCCCATCCACCCCTTCGGCGGTCTCAATGTTATTGTTCAGTTGCGGAACATTGAACATATTCGCAAATTAACAAGGGCTTCGAAGTGAGCATTGTATCCCCTTTGAAGCCATCCCGAGCTGACAGATCGATCCCTAGGGCGAACTTGACAAGATGGACATCAATGTATATAACGTGGACTGTCATCGTCCTCGACAATGGACTTTGGATCATCAGCTCAACAGTCATCACGACAACACAGTCTCTCCTTCTTCCTCTTCTTCTCCCATATCTTCACTCACTTACATACTGATACGGTCTTTACCAACCTGATACCCTCGTTCCCAGCACAATGAAGCCTTCCGGTCTTCCCACCTCCTTGGGCCTGCTCTTTGCAGCAGCTGCCACCGTTTCTGGATCACACTTTGACTCGGTAAGTCATACCAAACCCACCTATAGCCTCCGTAGGATCGACAGTCACTGACAGTTCATCAGCATCGTTTGTCTCGGCAACGTGCACACAAGTTCAGCCCTCGCAACCAGGCACAGGTCGTTACTGTCACCGAGATGGCCACGTCCCCAGCAACAACAGCCCCCGCGGACACCATGTCCAGCATGACTGAGACAGTCTGTCTGGATGCAGTCACACTCACAACGACAGTCGATGTCACCACCACCATCTACGCCAACTTTGGAAACTCCACAACGACAATCTGGGGCAACTCGACCGCTGCTCCCAAGCCTACCGAGGAACCCTGTGACGATGAGACCCTGACCATCACCGCGACCGTCAACGGCACTGCTGCAACTTACACGACGACTGTCCCGGCTACCAAGACCGAGGAGCCTTGCGACGATGTTACCTCTACGGTCACAACGACAGTTAACGGCACTCCTTCCACCTATGTCACCACTGTTGCTGCGACCAAGACTGAGGAGCCCTGCGATGATGTTACGTCTACAATCACCACTACTGTCAACGGCACTCCTTCCACGTATGTCACCACTGTTGCTGCCACCAAGACCGAGGAGCCTTGCGACGATGTCACGTCTACAATCACGACCACTGTCAACGGCACACCTTCGACCTACATCACCACTGTTGCCGCCACCACGACCGAGGAGCATTGCCATGATTGCGTGCCTGTCACCGTCACTGCCACCATAAACGGCACTCCCTCGACTATCACCACAACCGTGAAGCCCACCATGACCGAGGAGCCATGCGATGATGTAACCTCTACGTTCACGGCGACCGTCAATGGCACTGTCTCAACCTACACCACTACCGTCGCCGCCGTCAAGACCGAGGAGCCTTGCGAATGTGAGCGCATCGTCGTCACTGCCACCGTCAGCGAGACACTTGCAACCTTCACCATCACGGTCAGCACCACTCAGACCGCTGATGCCACCGCACGCCCTACCTTTACCGGCGCTCCCGGACCATGGGCCAACTCTACCGTCGCGCCTATCTGGGTCAACTCTACCACCTCTTCCATGACCACCACCACCGGTGTTCCTCTGGTCACGGCTGCGCCAACCTCGTACAACTCCAGCGTCCTCCCCATCTACGTCAATTCGACCTCCACGCTCGCGCCCATCTATGTCAACTCTACTTCCACGCTCGCTCCCG